GTAATCAAGTGTCTGATGCAAGAAGCAGAAAAAGCAGACATTAAAATGTTTCGATTAGAAATTGGATTAAGTGGGGTCAAAAGGAGAAAGAAATATGTTGAACTCGACGAAGCAATCAAATTAAATACTAAAAAGTATGAAGAAAGTGGAAATATTTCAAGTTTTTTGAAAAAAAATGGCATTCATTGTAAAGTTACACTAAAACAAAAAATCGTATGTATTTTTCCAAATAAATGTAGATGTACCTAATTTGTTTTATTTCTAAATGTATTACAAAAAAAATAATTATAAAGTTATCATTATTATGAATAGTTGGTAGGTATACTAATACATAATATTATATATTATTTGTACGCAAGTTGGAAAAGGTAACAGATATTCTCAGGTACCTGGTTCCTTGCTGCCCACCCTTGGAAGTATTTGTACGCAAGTGAGACATGTACGCATTTCAACCATATGTTATATAGACATAGGAAGAAAGAACACTTATTCCAAGGACATTCTTGTAGACCCCTTTTTCAAACAGTGCTAAACTTTCTTTTTTTTATATTTAGTGCTAAAATCTAATAAAGCAAACTCATAAATCCACAGGAAGTAATACTTCTTTGTTTAATCTTGAGTGTTTAGTCTTGGTCTGGATTTAAGTCTTGGTCTTTTTCGTTCGGCCTTGGCCTTGATCTTGCAAGTATAAAAACCGAGATCAATTTTGCTCATCACTACGGTCATGTTAAAGTTTTAAAATTATAATTCGGGTACGTCCATGTTAAGGTTTTAAAGTAATGCACCTACTATAGTGAATAAATTTTTGCATATTTATTTTGAGAATAAGTACTTTAATATTATATTAAAAGCAATTTTGATTAATTTAGAATAACCTAATCAACAATTTATTAAACAACTTCAATAATTTAACTANAATAATAAAATAATAATAATATTAGCTTATCTTATTGTATAACTGGGGATAATAGAAAATGGCAGGCAACTATCACAGGGTGAGTGAAGACGGCAAGACGCCTCACCGCCCTCCTTCGTGACCTTGAATTCGATTCTCGACTCCCCTTGATATTGATTACTCAATTTAAACGGCCTACTAACTCAGTAGGTAAGTAGGTGTCAGCTTATAATTTTAAATAAATAACTTAGTTGTACCATCTTTGTACCAGTGACTTAACAAGAATTTATGGATAAATATTTCCAAGAAAAATAAATAGTACTTGCTGGTATTTTATTTTGTTGAAATCTCAAATTTTGACGAAATTGAAATGATAGGTTTAGCCTAATTAATAACAGCCAAATGATAAATGGAAGGAGAGGAATAAAAAGAGAATATTTCGGCTCCGGAGTACTAGTACACTCTTATTGTAGTTTTAAAATAACTTTAAAGTTCACCAACACTTAGTTTATTTAAAAAGCATACCTAAGTATGTATATAAGTTACAAGTTGCAAAACTGTCAACCGTACGGTTCAGAACTTCAAAGTTATTAACCACATAGTGTTCAAGTTTTGAAGAGGTACTGCTCAAATCTTGATTATAACGAAGGTCCTAGACTTTGATGGGTACGTTCAAAATGTTATTGGTAGGTACTTTAAAACTTTGCTTTAAGATAATTTTTACAAAATAGGCTAAAGGATAAATTACACTACTATTCTATATAAGATCCTTTATGATATTCACTCAGGTATATCTACCACCCCACTTTCAACAAACGTAATGATTCACCAAAGATAAAATATCAAACAATTGGAACAACGTTGTACACTGTTTAAGATGGTTGAACCTAAATAAGAAATAATTGTGTGCGCAATTGATGCCTAAACTCCAAGGAGCATTTCTTGTGTTTCGCAAACAATGATTTTTCTCGGATGGTGTATGAGAAAGCCGATTAGTGATCAAATTTTTTAAATTACCTTCGATACCTTGACAAATAGTTATTATCCTTAGTAATAGTTACTTTCTAAAAGAAGGTTATAATGTAAAGAAGACTAGCTATTTCTGACTTATGTGCTTAATTATTTTATTTTCTTCATACACACATACCCGTATATACCTTACCAAGAAGCAAACCGAAATCTAAATTGTATCAAATATGTAAACTATGCAATGCGATCAGTTTATACTAGATCGATCAAAATCTGTTACTTTTTACGACGTTTTTTAGTTTCTCTAAGGTTCCTTCCATTTATCACTAATGTTATAAAATCAGTAATATTTTAAAATAAATTATTACCACTAAATATAACCTCAAATTAACAAATAAAGATTGTTGCTGCATTACGTACTCGCCGGGAATCGAACCCGGTCCCCTGGCCTTAAGCGCCATTGCCTTAGCATGAAGCTACTAGAGGCAACAGTAGCATCAACGATGATATGTAGCTACCTAGTACATAATACAAAATCCTCGAACCAATGCGTAATCGTTATTAAGTGTATGAATAATTTAGAAGAATTTTGTCGGGTTCATTTTAATACTTAAAAATGGATTATTTTTTTGTTTTAATTTACCTGTTCCACTACATACAACCTCAAATTAATGAGGAAAAATTTTTGCTGCTGTCATGGCCGCGTCGGAAATCAAACCTGTGTCCGTGACTTTGTTTGTTCAACCTCTAAGCCACGAGAGGTGACTCTATATTGGTTCAACGATTCTTTAAACTTTTGGATGTTTCCTTCCCACCAACTAGTAATGCTGGTGGGCGAGCAGTCCCTCCGGACTACGCTGAAAGGTTGGGCAAAAAGTCTTGTTCAGCCTGCTTTCGTGGGAATGGGTGGGTGGTGGTTCGGGTGAGAAAGTTGAGACGGACGAAATGAAGACAGAAGAGAATGAAAGATTATCTGTGGAATATTACTGCCTCAGCATTTGCCTATGTGATCCAAGGAAACCACAGAAAAACTTGGACCAAGGCGACGGATCCGGAATCGAACCGGCGTCCTCCCGAATGCTAAGCAATGGTCTAGACCTCTAGGCCATGCCGCTCGACGTTAGTCGCCTAGATCCAGGCCCGTAATGAAACAAATTGTACGTTTAAATTTACAAAGACGATTTGTGAGATCAACTGTCACTGGATTGAAAAATTGTGTCAGGAAGCCATGTTTTTTTTTTAATCTAAATGGGACACCCTGTATAGGTATGTATCGTCACTGTTCCTGCTACCACCTTTCGTAGCTTAGTGGTAGAGCAATGCTGCGTAAAGCCCGGATTCGATTCCCGGCGAGCAGCAACAATTTTTGAGGTTAGCTGTAGCGGTAAAAATTAATTCACTTTAATGTATTGAAATTAATCCTACTAAATTCTTCTAAATGTCTCATTCAAACTTCAAACATATTTATTGAAACAGTCAATTCCAATTTTAACTTTCTCTATACTAGTGAACATTATGTTTAATTTTAACTTTCTCTATACTAGTGAACATTATGTTTGTATGAATGAGGAACATATACCTACATAGGTGATGTATTGCAGACTAATTTAGGTTGATACTAGAAATAAAAGCCAAGGTAACGGTATAGACTTCAAAGTGCCTGTAATAATTCCTACAGCCGCATATACCTAAGTGAGAATCAATCTTTTAGGCATGCTATCACCAAGCAATCAATAGGGTAAGCCATTTTTAGCCAAAATTAGACTGGTAGACAGTTCCACATTTTGTTCCAGTAATTTCATCTAATGCTAGCACTCGACAGCGGTTTAACTTACGTGAAAATTCTATTGCTATAGCTAACTCAGTTTACATGGAAATTTTTTAACAATGAAAATGTCAACTTATTACAATGCTTATTATAGGTACTCAAGTATTAATCTACGATATATAGATACAGCTGACCATCGAATTTGGAATTCTCCACTGAATTTCAAAAACTGGTGAACGTCATACATTGACATTTGATTAAAACTGTTTTTTTGTCATAATTGCGTGAAAAACTCGCTTTTCGTACCAAAAAATTGCGATGAAAAGTCGGTTTTTCAGACCAGTTTTAAGCTGGAACGAAATGAAACCAGTCATTAAACGTATGCGCTGCAATTGAATGAGCATGCGTAGAAGTCAACCGTTGGACGGCAATTTAGATGTAATGACAAAAGATCTAAGATTAAATCAAAATTAAAATCAAGTAAAAATCTAAATATTTCGAGAAATGATATTCAGGCAAATATTTCTGAAAATTCTACAATTAATATACATATAAAAGAAATGAATAACGTAACGATTAATTATTATTATCAGTTCAAAGAAAAAAAGAAAATTAAAAAAACAAAGCGACTGAAAAAAGTGTTTTTATTTGATATTATTTCAAAAGTGCCATGAGTTTGGTCAATATTAAAGATATAATTATGTTAATTAATACTTAAGAACTTTAATTTTTGATTTAATCAACAGGTATTATTACTCCTATCATATTTGAAGAATATTAGTATAATGTTTTTTATTAACTGATGTAGCTAAAAAATTTGAAAAATATTACAACTTTTGTTTTGAAAAATTTGGTTGATGAAAAAGCAATACTATTAGTGATTGTTGAAGTTTATAATATTCTTATATTTTGTTGAAATTATTTAAAACAGTATTGATGATTATTATTAAGTGTTAAAAACATAAAAAAATAGATTTAAAATTAATAAAAAAAATTGAATTGAATTATGATTATTTACTTAAATTGTTTTCCTTTCCATTAATAATTTTAATTTATAATAGTTTAACAATTACGCAAACATAAAATTTTATAATCTCTACATGATGAATTCTTGTATTTATAATTATCTATCAATTTTATTGGGATATAACAAAAAATAGTATACATATCTCTGTCTGAAATATCTGCTTTTCAGACCTCGATTTCTTCGTTTTTTTTTAATACTTCGCCTGCCCACTGAGATGATGTGTCTAAAAAACATTACAAATCTGACCGGTTAATGTGCTTTCTGCTATATATTTTTTATTGAAATTTACGACTGTCTAGCAGTATCAAATAAGATGCTGTAGAAATCCGTTTTTGTTTCAGAACATTCCGTGAAATCTATTCACCGTAGAAGTTACAACCACAGACGAAAAAATCAAGACGACAGCAGCACCAATATCGTAAAAGCTCAAAGTAATCCAGAAAACGTGTTTATCACTTCAAATAACACCATTGTTACAGCTCAAGCAGGAGGAACTGCGATTCTACCTTGCATTATACGAAAATCGAATACGGGAGTGGTAAGTTGCATTTTACATTCTCAGATTTATTTTAAAGCCTTTCTGTGTAAATATTCAATCATTGAACTATGTGAAATCTTGGTGTTATATTTATCAAATTGTCTTGAATGTACCTAGAGCTTGTACATTAAATAACAAAACATCGTTTGGCTGTTATCTACGCTAAAATTAATAAGAGAAACTAATAAATCATTTATTTATAATGCGTAGTCATTACACCCGAGATAAAAATATTCAGTCTCTCAGAGTCTCTGAAAGCGAGACTCGAGTCTCCGTCTCTTATCGAGTCTCTCTGGTGTCGCTGAGAGAGGCTGTAGAGAGACTGTCAAAAAAACTGTTTAGCGTCTTTGAACGAAAGACTCGAGTCGCTCATAGAGAGATCCTCATTTCGTATCCAGTCTTTGAACGAGAGACTCGAATCTCTCAATTAACGCTATTATCGTTCGAGTCTCTCGTACAGAGACTGTGAGAGATCCATAAAAACACCCAGGCAATAACTGAGAGACTGTGAAAGGCTGTAAGAGACGCTGAAAAACTCTGAAACACTCTGAGAGACTGGACAGAGACTGAAAATTTTTGTCTAGGGCAGCTTAACAATGAAAATGTTTCTTGTTAAACACGAAAATCACAATAAAACATTTTATTTCAAAGCTCACGGCCTACTTGAGTAATTAAACCTCAGTATGGTTGATTTTTGGGGATTTGAGTGCTTGATGTTAATATCTCCGATAGTAGTAATTCGTTTCATGATGAATGATTTTCTGTTTTATCATTCAAATGAAGTTTCAAATGTTCAGTCAATCAAAAATATCACTAATAAGCCTAAGTAATGGCATCTTATTGAAATTGGGGTTAATATCACAGAGTACACGACTTGTGAGGAGAATCTTCATTTCTTGAAGAGAAAATGATAGTTCCTTGCAGTAATGTCAATGGTTTGATGGAATCTTTGGAAGTACCTTACGATCCAATGAAATGGAGATTAAACGTAGACTCTTCCAAGCTCAGTTTGGAAGCAGCCTTATTACACAATATCAGCCTTTTTCTTCCATTCCAATTAATCAAACATCAAGGAAACTTACGTGAATATAAAATTACTTTTAGAGTCAATCAAATACGGAGATCACAAACGGCAGATATATGGCGACTTAAAAGTTGTTGCTCTACTCCTAGGAATGCAATTTATTGTGTTTGTCATTTACACATAAAAGAAGTCTTGAAAGAAAAATATCCAAAATGAGTCATTACTAGATCCAAATAACATTCCACTTCTTGAATATTACGAATGAAGAACTTCATGAGAGCCATGAAACAAAATGGAGATGCTTTCAAATATTTAAGAGAAAAATTCCCAAGATGTAGAAAATATTAAGGGGGATTCATTATTGCATCTCAAATCTTGAAAAGTTCTAAGGTCACAGCTTGTGATAAAATTTTGAAGCATGGGAAGTCTTTAAAAGCGTGTTACAAAAATTTCTAGACAACAAAAGAACAATAATGACCAACAGTTAGTGAAAAAAATAAAATAAAAGGACTTTGGATGCAATAAGTCTCTGAGTATTCATTTTCTTCACTCCCCATGTTGATTTTTTTCCCTGAAAACTGTGGAGCTATAAACGATGAGCATTGAGAAATGTTCCACCAAGATATCTTTACAATGGAATCAGCGTCGTAGAGATGAGTCAATGTTCGCCGACTACCGTTGGACTGTTCCAAGGGATGCTCCGGGATTAACATATAAGAAAAAAAAGCTTGATATTTGACAAAACATTAGCTAATGTATTATATAAATAATTTAATTTGAAATTATTTCTTTATTCTTTTTAAATTTAATTAGTTTTTTAAGTTCTTCTTTCATAAAAAAAATATCACAGAAATTATATTGATAATGAAAATTTTTGTGACAATAATATTTTTTCTTGACCCAAAATTAGTGAGAATAAGCTATTTAAAAACCAGGGAAAAGATTGAATTATTTCTTTTGTTGTGCAGTGATTTTAACTATGTGATAAACTCCAAGCCACTTCGAAAATAGTTAATATTCGGAAATATCTTTCTCGAAGGAGGATTTTAGCTTAGGATGAAATTATTGATTTGACCATCAGATAATAGGTAATTAATTACTTCTGTCCCAACTGTCAAGCTGTCTACAGTGAATAATCCTTAACACTTGAGGTCAGGGTAGAGTATTCAGTGTGACAGGTGCTGTCAAATTCATTATGTAACAACTAACTATTAGCCGTGTGGATTTTGGATAACCTTTGGCAGATTTTAAAAGGAGAGTATGAAGTTTGTTCTATCAACTCAAGTCAACGCGAGGTTCTATCTAATGAAATTTTACGTTGATTATTTTATATTAATTTTGTTACGAAATTTGATAATTAAAACCCTAGAACAAAACTTTTATCTTAAACGTAGGAGTTTATTAAGCGCATATTAGATTTAATAAATCTTTATGCCAAGTTTAAAGTTGATACACGCAGAACATACTAATCTCTATGCAAACGTTTACTCCACGTTTCCCTATTGGGGGTTAATTTTCGAAAAGTCCTTTCCTGGTGCACTTTTACACCTTCTAAGGAATATATTTTCCCAGTTTCACGTTTCCATCTTCAATGGCTTAGGCTTTGAGTTGTCTCTCAGTCAGTCACATAACTGTTTTTTTTTTAATATAAAACCTCTTACAAACAGTTAAACAATCAAGCGGATAGTATAGTAAAAAGAAAATTACTACTCCGCATGATGATGCCTTTACCTAATTTTAGACAATAAATTTCATTTCGAAATATTAAAATATTTGTAAAGGCAATTTTGGAAGCAAAAAAGATATGCTATGGAATTTGTTCTGTACTGGGTATAGGTACTTGTTTCTTCAAAACATTTTAATATGGAATGAAAAAATTCAATTTGATTTTCAATAAAAATTTCTTGTGGCAAAAGAACACTACATAAAAAGCTCTCGCCTTTTTGATGTACCTTATATTCTTCCAATGTTGGTTCCTAATACAAACGTTTACTGAATAAAAAGCAAATATCTACATCTCTGAAAGCGTTTCGAAAGCAGTGAATAAAAATACAATAGGTACCTATCGAAAACTTTTAGAAGTACTGATTGGTAGTTCACATAAAGTTATTTCTACTTATAGTTACGGAACCTTCTGCCGCTTAGTATATCACCTTTTTAAGTGATTTAGAATATTGTTTCTCATATGTTACATAGGCGGAATCTGGGCCTATTTCCAAATAAAGAGAGGGGAAAAATCGAAACACAAAAATGTTGGCCTAACTGCTTGGTTTTAATGGTACATTTTATTTAACATACTCCACATTCCGGGAAAAATAGTGGCAAAAAAAAATCACGATCCATTTTTCCGCGCGTGAATAAAAGAAAAACAAAAAGGAGTGAGCCCTAACCGGATATAACAAAATATAATATTTTCTTTTCAATGTATACGTTGACAGAGAAATAGTGGTAGACATTTTGGTTGCGCCATTTTTTAGTAATTTGACGTCGAAACGTCCTGTAACTGGGAAGTTAATAAATTTCAGCAGGTGCTCTATCCAAAAGTCATGTCACTTGTGTGCAAAAGGAGTCTTGCTCTCTTTTTCATATGTTACAAGATCTGTAAATTTCAACAAAATAGTTAATCTCAAAATAGAAGGAGGAGACTGTGGTAAATATTAATTAAAAAATTTAAAGGAATACTCACCCCTAATTACCACAAATAATTTTATATGAGCGGACACGTGTTTCGCCCACTTCACACGTGGGCATTATCTAGTAGTAGTCTCGCGTTGATAATGCCCACGTGTGAAGTGGGCGAAACACTTGTCCGCTCATATAAAATTATTTGTGGGTGAGTATTCCTTTTAATTGTTTAATAGTTAATCTCATTTCAAAATGTGTTAATTCACTTAGGAACAAATATAAAATTAAGTATATGTATTTCCAAACGTTTCGCATAACTTATTTCATTTACATACTTAATTCAGAATAGCAAGAGGATTTTGAAGATTCATCCAAGGATTTACAAAGAATTATAAAGATTTCAGTTTTTGAAATAGATTATACCGTATTTTCAGTATTTCTATTGTCGTATTCTTTCCATACCTTTGCAATGAATTTCAATAAATCAGCATTATGCAATTTAATGTGAACTTAAAGTGAACTATTAGGGTCTGACCATTCCACCTTCAGCTTTTTTATATTGGCTATAAAAATTTGTCGTTTTTACAGTTAGGCGCAAGACAGTTGCTTTTCACAGATTTTTATCAACATAAAAATCTTGATATTTTTGCCAACCAAGACCATAATGTCTTGGTTCATGGAACAAATTATCTATAACTCGTACGAATACCAAGAAATCGAAATATCCAACATTACTATGCGGCAAACGTGATTCTATCTAATACGAAAGAAAGCATTTTTGCCATCCCCGTATTTGCGCCAACGAGTGCCCATGGCCCCCTTGCCCCCACCTCCCACGCTACGTCACTCATTACAAGACATTCGTCGTATTGCTGGTCATGTTTGGAAGTGGAAGGGTAAAGCACATTGGAAAATCGTTCATAGACCTGTAAAGTGTAAATATCATAACTTTTATTGTGTTCCAATTTCGAAGAAGTAATACAAGAGACTTACGAAAATAAATCTTGTTAATTAATACAGTTCTTTGCTACAATTAATTATAATAGGCAATTAAATCTGCATATAGTTATAGTGGGCATCATATTATTTCGTGATTTTGTATATTGATTTTTAATTTATAAAGGGCAACAAGGAGAAGTGAGATATCATTTTAGAGGATTTCTACAGATCATATTAAACCCATTTTTATAGTCTATCTAATATTCCGAAACCTTTTTAAAGTTTATAAAGCTAAATAAAACTGTGAATAACGATTGATGTAGATAGAATAAAGTAATAACATGGGAAATCTATGGTAACTTTAGCTTATTGTAATAAAATAATAAGGGTAATGTGTCTAGCGGTTTAATACTCTCTACACGCGTATAAAATACACATTTACTCAGTTCTCATGTTCTTCTGGTTTGCGGAGATAAGTATTTGTAATATCCCTGGATATAAACCACGTTTCAAGTATCTATTTCTTATTTAGAAGAAACTTTATACGTTTGTGTATGCGCAAATGTTGGTGTGATCAAACAGCTTTTGAGGAATCACATCGTCCAAATTAAATTTCAGAAAGTCGAATAGAAATCGGGATGTACAGAACTCATTGTACATACCCATGTAAATATTGGAATGGCGGTTCTATTTAGGCTATCGAGGAAAAATGCGGAGAAAATGTGTTACATTCAGCCAGCGTATCAGTTTGAATTTCCATTTTAAACAGATTCTGTTTGAGAAATGCCTCTGCAGAATTTCTGATTGAGTTGTTAACTTCGAGCTTGGTCGCGGAACAGGAATTGAAGTTCTGGGTTGTGGATATGCCTTGTCTGTTGTCACAGACTTCGACGAAAACGCGATTATGAGAGACGACCTCTTCTCGCACGTATGCTGTTTTATCGAGTTTCGGAGTTGGCTTTTGCGACAGGCAAGTCGAGCTGAATTCGAGGTGAACACTGATAGGCAACAACTACACACATGACCACTGCATTACGGCTTCCTAACAACATACATACATATATAAAATTTTGTTTAAGTACTCGTTAACTATTTCAACTTCTACATGCCATATTGTATTAGGTTTAATTAATTTTCCGCAAATTTAACCAAAAAAATCCTAATTTTGATGGTGTTAAATCTTTTCGTTGGGCCATAGAATGGGAATTTTAAAAAAGCTGAAATAGTTATATTTAATTAATCTCAATAAAGATGAATGGGAATCCAAAATCATGGGAGTACCACAAAAAAACAAAAATTATCTCTTGATGGTTTCTGGAAATATATGACTTCCTGTGAGAACTAATGACGAAATATTAACAAAAAAGAAAATTTTGGTGTATTTCACAGAATATACAACGTCTGTTCAAAAAGTATCGCCAATTTTGTTTTTTTTTTCAAAATTTATCTATTTATTCATGAATATTCCTCCTTTGATGCCGTCTTTATCTCCTCAATTATAGCGTAGCTTTGTCCTTTCATGTGCCTCTTCAGTTTCGCGAGAAAAAGTCACAGGCGGTCAGATCTGGGGACCACGGTGGCTGCGATATTATTTGTGTGTTATTTTTCGCTAAAAATTTGCGCACAAGCAACGATGTGTGAGAAGGGGCGTTATCATGGTGCAAAAGTCAATTTTTGTTCTACCACAAAAATTTCCATTGAACTTCGATGGGAATGAATGGAAAATTTGTAAATTCCATTCAAAACCATTTGGCATAAATGGAAAAATAATTGTTTCCATTTACAATAATTCCATTAATAGGATACATAACCAATCAAAATTTATAAATTCTATTTAAAACTATTCGATATAAATGGAAAAACAATTGGGTACCTAAAAATGGAGAAGATCTGGTTTGAGATGATTAAAATTTTATCAAAAAAATGGAGAAAAACGTGCTGATTGTCTAATTGTTTGGAATAATAATTGTCATGTAATTAATATTTTCCTCATATTTCATCTTGATTAAAAGGAGTTACATTTAATTACCACTAGCAATAATTAAAAGTAAAAAATAATGAATTGACACTAGGATTTCCATTGGGTTCAGAAATGGAAGTTCCAATGGAACGCAACGGAAATCCGATTGCGTTCAGCAATCGAAGTCCCATTGCGTTCGAGAATTCTAGTGGAAATTCCATTCGTCCCATTGGCAATTTTCCATTTATTACCACTAATTATTATCAGTGGTAATGGCATTTTTTTAATGGAAACAGAATGGAAATTTTTCCTACGGATTCTGGCGGATTTCTTCGCGTAAATTGCGCATAACTTACAGGAAATAATCCTTAGTGACCGTTCTATCCTGTGGCAGGAACTCATAATGCACCACGCCCCTATAATCGAAGAAACCAATAAGTAAAACCTTCACATTCGACCTAACTTGACACGCTTATTTCGATCTTGGCTGGTGCGGCAGTTTCCATTGGGATTATTGAGTATTGGTTTCCACGTCATAACCATAAACCCATGGTCGTTACCAGTTATGATCCTCAGGAGCAAATTTGGGTCGTCGCAGTCAGTCTAACAGCTTCTTAGCAATGTTAATCGGATGCTGCTTTTGGTTGAAATTGAGCAATTTTGGTACGAACTTCACGGCGACCCGTCTCATGCCCAAATCAATGATCAAAATCGAATGGCAGGAGCCAATCGATATGTTTAGGTCCTCAGCAACTTCTCTAACGGTGATTCGACAATGGGCCGATATCATTTCCTTCACATCATTGTTTTTGTCTGTTGTTGACGTGGTCAGGCGTCCGGCCCACTTTTATCGTTTACATCTTCTCGGCCGTCTGAGAACATTTTCTACCACCGATTAACCTTACTTTGGTCCAATGTAGCTTCACCATATGCGGCATACGTCAGCACACTTAATTTTGTTTTTCAAATAAAATTTGATACAAATTATTTGATCCATTTTTTGGAATAGGTAAAAATCGGAGACGAGCCAAAACACGTGCAACATAACGTCACAAAAAATCGAAAATCGAATATACGTAAAGCGGGGAAATACAAAATTCGCGATACCTTTTGAACAGACCTCTTATATAAGAAAGTTAATGTTTCTAAGTTCTGGTTACAATAATAGCCCTTGAGCGTTGAAATTGAATCTAATACAATTCTGTAATTTTCTGGAGGACATCATGCTGGATTGTCTATACACCAAAAGAGGACTTCCAGATAAATAGATAAAAACTAAGTATTGAATGCTCCACTGATATGAAAATAAGTTGGGCTATTAAAGCTCGTCCACCGGAGAGTGGCCAAGTCCAGTAACCAAACGGTACAACTGGATATCCAAACAAATTCCAGTAGTCACAGTATTTATACAATTCCGAAAAACTATTTTTTAATTGAACAATTGGAAGTTAACAAAATTGCAGGTGGTGTATGTATACGAAGAATAATAGATAGTCAACGTCAACGTTTATCCTGAATAAGCAGTTCATTTTATCAGCAACTCTACAATGATTCTTACATATATCTGAAGAAGGGGAAAAAACGAAACCAAACTCCATTGAAATTATTTTTAAAGGAAGTCTTTAGAGTGTACTGTAATTGACTCTTTTTTCGACGAAAAATCTGTTCTGAAAACTCTTCGGTAGTATTCCGCATTGAAGACAGTCTAATGTGATTCATTCGTTGATTCTACGCACTTACTACTTAACCAATTAATGTCAACATTTTGAGAATTGCGAGATTTGAAACTTTTGATTTTGTTGCAGGTGTCGTGGATTCGAAGGCACGATTACAGACTCTTAACGGTAGGATTGCTGACGTACATTGCTGATAACAGGTTTATGGTTGAGCATATTCGACACCTGCAAAACTGGGGACTTCTCATTAAACCTGTCCGCTCATCCGACGCTGGTCTCTATGAATGTCAAGTGTCACTTCATCCGTCGTCTAGCATATTCGTCGAATTGAAAGTGACAAGTAGGTTTGCAATTACATTGATCATTAACGCATACCTACCTACATGTCTAGGTTTAGGTGTATATGTGCAATTGATTTTTGTTAAAAGTCGAACACAGCTGGTTTAACGGAAAGCAATTACAACCTGTAAATGGTGAAAATGGAAAACAGGTTCTCAAAATCTAAGGTTAGATGATTCATTGAAGACAAAGGTGTTAAGTTTTACCGGAACAACAATTTATTCAGGGGGACATTACAACAATACTTTTTTTTGCAAAGTGCCTATTGGCATCTTTTATTAATTTTATAGAAATTGTAAATTCTACGATGAACTCTTGGTTATCTTTTGATCACTTATAGCTACCTCCGGAATGTACAGTAATGATTCTACTGAATAAATTTTTAAAGGTTTGATGACATAAAATGTTAATTAAGTATAGCGTTGTCAGGCTTTTTGATTGCGTGTCCGGCCAAAATAAACGATGTCCGGCTTGTCCGGCTTGTCCGGCTTTTGTTANAAAAAAAATATCACAGAAATTATATTGATAATGAAAATTTTTGTGACAATAATATTTTTTCTTGACCCAAAATTAGTGAGAATAAGCTATTTAAAAACCAGGGAAAAGATTGAATTATTTCTTTTGTTGTGCAGTGATTTTAACTATGTGATAAACTCCAAGCCACTTCGAAAATAGTTAATATTCGGAAATATCTTTCTCGAAGGAGGATTTTAGCTTAGGATGAAATTATTGATTTGACCATCAGATAATAGGTAATTAATTACTTCTGTCCCAACTGTCAAGCTGTCTACAGTGAATAATCCTTAACACTTGAGGTCAGGGTAGAGTATTCAGTGTGACAGGTGCTGTCAAATTCATTATGTAACAACTAACTATTAGCCGTGTGGATTTTGGATAACCTTTGGCAGATTTTAAAAGGAGAGTATGAAGTTTGTTCTATCAACTCAAGTCAACGCGAGGTTCTATCTAATGAAATTTTACGTTGATTATTTTATATTAATTTTGTTACGAAATTTGATAATTAAAACCCTAGAACAAAACTTTTATCTTAAACGTAGGAGTTTATTAAGCGCATATTAGATTTAATAAATCTTTATGCCAAGTTTAAAGTTGATACACGCAGAACATACTAATCTCTATGCAAACGTTTACTCCACGTTTCCCTATTGGGGGTTAATTTTCGAAAAGTCCTTTCCTGGTGCACTTTTACACCTTCTAAGGAATATATTTTCCCAGTTTCACGTTTCCATCTTCAATGGCTTAGGCTTTGAGTTGTCTCTCAGTCAGTCACATAACTGTTTTTTTTTTAATATAAAACCTCTTACAAACAGTTAAACAATCAAGCGGATAGTATAGTAAAAAGAAAATTACTACTCCGCATGATGATGCCTTTACCTAATTTTAGACAATAAATTTCATTTCGAAATATTAAAATATTTGTAAAGGCAATTTTGGAAGCAAAAAAGATATGCTATGGAATTTGTTCTGTACTGGGTATAGGTACTTGTTTCTTCAAAACATTTTAATATGGAATGAAAAAATTCAATTTGATTTTCAATAAAAATTTCTTGTGGCAAAAGAACACTACATAAAAAGCTCTCGCCTTTTTGATGTACCTTATATTCTTCCAATGTTGGTTCCTAATACAAACGTTTACTGAATAAAAAGCAAATATCTACATCTCTGAAAGCGTTTCGAAAGCAGTGAATAAAAATACAATAGGTACCTATCGAAAACTTTTAGAAGTACTGATTGGTAGTTCACATAAAGTTATTTCTACTTATAGTTACGGAACCTTCTGCCGCTTAGTATATCACCTTTTTAAGTGATTTAGAATATTGTTTCTCATATGTTACATAGGCGGAATCTGGGCCTATTTCCAAATAAAGAGAGGGGAAAAATCGAAACACAAAAATGTTGGCCTAACTGCTTGGTTTTAATGGTACATTTTATTTAACATACTCCACATTCCGGGAAAAATAGTGGCAAAAAAAAATCACGATCCATTTTTCCGCGCGTGAATAAAAGAAAAACAAAAAGGAGTGAGCCCTAACCGGATATAACAAAATATAATATTTTCTTTTCAATGTATACGTTGACAGAGAAATAGTGGTAGACATTTTGGTTGCGCCATTTTTTAGTAATTTGACGTCGAAACGTCCTGTAACTGGGAAGTTAATAAATTTCAGCAGGTGCTCTATCCAAAAGTCATGTCACTTGTGTGCAAAAGGAGTCTTGCTCTCTTTTTCATATGTTACAAGATCTGTAAATTTCAACAAAATAGTTAATCTCAAAATAGAAGGAGGAGACTGTGGTAAATATTAATTAAAAAATTTAAAGGAATACTCACCCCTAATTACCACAAATAATTTTATATGAGCGGACACGTGTTTCGCCCACTTCACACGTGGGCATTATCTAGTAGTAGTCTCGCGTTGATAATGCCCACGTGTGAAGTGGGCGAAACACTTGTCCGCTCATATAAAATTATTTGTGGGTGAGTATTCCTTTTAATTGTTTAATAGTTAATCTCATTTCAAAATGTGTTAATTCACTTAGGAACAAATATAAAATTAAGTATATGTATTTCCAAACGTTTCGCATAACTTATTTCATTTACATACTTAATTCAGAATAGCAAGAGGATTTTGAAGATTCATCCAAGGATTTACAAAGAATTATAAAGATTTCAGTTTTTGAAATAGATTATACCGTATTTTCAGTATTTCTATTGTCGTATTCTTTCCATACCTTTGCAATGAATTTCAATAAATCAGCATTATGCAATTTAATGTGAACTTAAAGTGAACTATTAGGGTCTGACCATTCCACCTTCAGCTTTTTTATATTGGCTATAAAAATTTGTCGTTTTTACAGTTAGGCGCAAGACAGTTGCTTTTCACAGATTTTTATCAACATAAAAATCTTGATATTTTTGCCAACCAAGACCATAATGTCTTGGTTCATGGAACAAATTATCTATAACTCGTACGAATACCAAGAAATCGAAATATCCAACATTACTATGCGGCAAACGTGATTCTATCTAATACGAAAGAAAGCATTTTTGCCATCCCCGTATTTGCGCCAACGAGTGCCCATGGCCCCCTTGCCCCCACCTCCCACGCTACGTCACTCATTACAAGACATTCGTCGTATTGCTGGTCATGTTTGGAAGTGGAAGGGTAAAGCACATTGGAAAATCGTTCATAGACCTGTAAAGTGTAAATATCATAACTTTTATTGTGTTCCAATTTCGAAGAAGTAATACAAGAGACTTACGAAAATAAATCTTGTTAATTAATACAGTTCTTTGCTACAATTAATTATAATAGGCAATTAAATCTGCATATAGTTATAGTGGGCATCATATTATTTCGTGATTTTGTATATTGATTTTTAATTTATAAAGGGCAACAAGGAGAAGTGAGATATCATTTTAGAGGATTTCTACAGATCATATTAAACCCATTTTTATAGTCTATCTAATATTCCGAAACCTTTTTAAAGTTTATAAAGCTAAATAAAACTGTGAATAACGATTGATGTAGATAGAATAAAGTAATAACATGGGAAATCTATGGTAACTTTAGCTTATTGTAATAAAATAATAAGGGTAATGTGTCTAGCGGTTTAATACTCTCTACACGCGTATAAAATACACATTTACTCAGTTCTCATGTTCTTCTGGTTTGCGGAGATAAGTATTTGTAATATCCCTGGATATAAACCACGTTTCAAGTATCTATTTCTTATTTAGAAGAAACTTTATACGTTTGTGTATGCGCAAATGTTGGTGTGATCAAACAGCTTTTGAGGAATCACATCGTCCAAATTAAATTTCAGAAAGTCGAATAGAAATCGGGATGTACAGAACTCATTGTACATACCCATGTAAATATTGGAATGGCGGTTCTATTTAGGCTATCGAGGAAAAATGCGGAGAAAATGTGTTACATTCAGCCAGCGTATCAGTTTGAATTTCCATTTTAAACAGATTCTGTTTGAGAAATGCCTCTGCAGAATTTCTGATTGAGTTGTTAACTTCGAGCTTGGTCGCGGAACAGGAATTGAAGTTCTGGGTTGTGGATATGCCTTGTCTGTTGTCACAGACTTCGACGAAAACGCGATTATGAGAGACGACCTCTTCTCGCACGTATGCTGTTTTATCGAGTTTCGGAGTTGGCTTTTGCGACAGGCAAGTCGAGCTGAATTCGAGGTGAACACTGATAGGCAACAACTACACACATGACCACTGCATTACGGCTTCCTAACAACATACATACATATATAAAATTTTGTTTAAGTACTCGTTAACTATTTCAACTTCTACATGCCATATTGTATTAGGTTTAATTAATTTTCCGCAAATTTAACCAAAAAAATCCTAATTTTGATGGTGTTAAATCTTTTCGTTGGGCCATAGAATGGGAATTTTAAAAAAGCTGAAATAGTTATATTTAATTAATCTCAATAAAGATGAATGGGAATCCAAAATCATGGGAGTACCACAAAAAAACAAAAATTATCTCTTGATGGTTTCTGGAAATATATGACTTCCTGTGAGAACTAATGACGAAATATTAACAAAAAAGAAAATTTTGGTGTATTTCACAGAATATACAACGTCTGTTCAAAAAGTATCGCCAAATTTTTTTTTTTTTTCAAAATTTATCTATTTATTCATGAATATTCCTCCTTTGATGCCGTCTTTATCTCCTCAATTATAGCGTAGCTTTGTCCTTTCATGTGCCTCTTCAGTTTCGCGAGAAAAAGTCACAGGCGGTCAGATCTGGGGACCACGGTGGCTGCGATATTATTTGTGTGTTATTTTTCGCTAAAAATTTGCGCACAAGCAACGATGTGTGAGAAGGGGCGTTATCATGGTGCAAAAGTCAATTTTTGTTCTACCACAAAAATTTCCATTGAACTTCGATGGGAATGAATGGAAAATTTGTAAATTCCATTCAAAACCATTTGGCATAAATGGAAAAATAATTG